ATGGAGTACCAGCTATGCAACAACACAACCATGTGAACATGTCACGTGAACAACTAGTGCAGATGGGACAATGGCGAGATGAGGTTGCAGCATCTATGTGGGAGGCATACAACAATAGGTATATGATAACAAGTAGGTAGATTCTTTTTGGTAATTGGAAAAAATGGAGCACATAATCAAAGTAGGTTAATGTTTCAAACTTCACATTATATTTGTATTCCTTGTATATATTTGAAAATGAGATTGCTAACTCAAAAGCCATATGCAGATGAAGCCAACACGTGGTGCGGCTGCTGCAATCAAATTCACTGTGGTGCTGTTCTGAATCTGTGTCTTCTTTATCTGGGGCGACACGTTCTGTCACTCGGAGTACGAAACGTACCTCGTTTCCCGTGCTTGGGCTAACTCCTATCCCAAACACAATGCAAATGAGATGGCATACACAATGCGATTTACATACAACCTAACATACGCAATGCTATGAAATGAAATGACATACACAATGCACGATGGACTTACACCAACATGAATGGACCTCAGCCACACTCACATCAATGGCCATGAGATGGAAAAGAGACAATCGAAATGTGTGCACACGTGCATGCATACCGAGGACCGAACCTAAGGCATAGAATGCCACTCTACCAAAGCATGGCAAGGGATGAAAGATGGCATACAAACATGTAATTTCCAGCACTGAAACATGATGCTAAATGGTCCCAAAACGTGGAAATATGACACCCGATGCATAAAATAAGCCCCGAAACTCAAAGCTAGGCACATGTATTGAATTATAACTATGCAAAGCAAGCATTATTTGGCCATGAAGTACAAAGACAGAGCCAAGGCAGTCCCAAAACATGCACATTTCTAGTTTAAAGCATGGCCAAAAAGTACTAACATGATGGACTAAAATAGCATGCAAATTTGGCTAGCAAGCATGGTTTTACATGGCATGTATATAAAGCATATGAGAACTCATCAAACCAGCCAAAAATAGTGAATAAAACATGACAAAATATGCCCAAATAACCACTGAAATGTAGCCAACATGTGCGAAAATGATGAGCTTCTTTGAAAGGGCATGCAAGGGGTTACTCAACACATATGATGGACACGTAGCATAGCAAAACAAACTCTGGAAATCAAATATGACAGCCCTAAAACTCACCAAAAAGGGCCTAAAATTGATCAATAAGGCATACAATAAAAGGTCCTCTTGAAAGGCCTTGAGAAGGGTTGTTCCACACATGCATGAGGGACATAAAATATGGCCAAAAGGGCCTTGGACAGAGCTAAAAGGAGAGAGAGGGTCACCCCTCTCTGATTTTAGGGTTCAAAGACACATCTAAGCCATTGAAAATCCATTGGATTTCAGTGGCTAAAAGGCCAAACCAAGGCCAATGCAAATGCTTTAATGCATAGCCCCAAGCATGAGGGAATGAAGCATACAAAGGGGAAGGTGACCCCAAACAGAAAAGTGACCTTAAGTAAACATGTTTATAAGCTCAAAAGGAAACTTTTTCTAGTTTATGACAAATCTCGAAAATGCTCACAAGTAGGACTAAGATATGATGCAAAATAAGCCTACAAAGAGGGACAAAGCATACAAGGGTGTAGGAGACCTCAAACAGAAAAGTGTCCTTAATCAATATTCAAGAGGAGCTCAAAATATGACACTTTTTAGTTTATGACAAAGTCCAGAAATACTTTCAAGTAAGGCTAATCAATGGAGCAAAAAAATGCAAGTTTAAGGGAAATAGGTGCTTACCCTTGAAGAGCAGCAAAGCTGGAGCTTCTGGACCAAGTTGGTGAACCTTCAACCCTTGAAAATCAGTCCCAAAGTGCTGGAATGGATGGAAGAGGTGTGGTGCTAAGGGTTGTAGTGCAAATGGTCTAAGAAAACTAGGGTTTTGAGGCTCAAGTGTAGAGATATAGAGAGAGAGAGAGTTGTAAGCCTTCAAAGGGGTTCAACCCTTGCCAAAGAAGATCAACCTCCCCTTTATAGAGGAGAGGCTCTAAAATATCCCAAAAGGGCTTCACATATCCTCCATACACGTGTATGGAGGATGGTCCAATTGCCTCACAGTTGGCACAGCTGTGATGCATTCAGAGAAGGCAAAAAGCAAGAAGCAGGCCGGCCGGCCACTCCCCATGGTCGGCCCACCAGGGGTCAAAAGGTTCAAGAAGAATTTATGGCCGGCCATCCCAAAAAGGTGGCAGTGCAACACAGCTGTATAGTGAAAAACTAGAAAATGTGACCTATAAGAGAGAAAAGCCAGCCTTTTAGCAAGGTTCAAAAGGGTCAAGATGAATTACTGATCGGCCTACCCATATTGGTGGCCTCCCTGATGAGCACAACACAATGGTGGTATGAAAAGCCAGAAATTGTGGCTCAAAAGTGAGAAAAACCAGCTTTCTGTCAGAAAAATTGGCTTTTAGAGAGAGAAAATGAGAAAACTAGTTTTTCAAGGAAAAAGGTGGCCTCCCACCATCCTACCACCTCCCTAGCAATGAAAATAGGGTCCCTACCAAAAATGGACCAAGATGGATGCAAAACGAGGGTTTGGGGGCCAAAACGCGCAGTCCGAGGCCCTGAAAACAGGCTGTTAGGCACCGAAAGTGGCGTATGACCACGAAGGTGGTCTCCCAGGTCACAGTGTCCCTCTAAAGGGAGAAAATAAGGGGTGTACCAAAAATTGGAGCAAACGGAAGTAGTTAAGCGGTCCCGAACCGAGGCGCACGGTCGACGGCTCCAAAAATCGGAAACTGGGCTCCACACGGGAAAAATGGCCTACGACCACGAAGCGTAGCCTACGGCCATTGAGAGATGGTCTACGAGACCTCTCCCTCCCTTCGGGAAGAGAAAACAGAGAAAACAGGACCTGGTTCGTAAATCGAGGCAAAGCACAAAAGAGCCCCGAAGTTTGGAGGCAAGGCTCGCAACCGAGACTCTGCAACCTCAGAACGAGCACAATATGCAACATCACCGAGCGCTCAATTGGTGACGTCTGAGTCTTAAGGTCGGTCAAAAATTGGGTGTCTACAGTGACCGTGATGATCTCCAAGATGTTTGGGTGGTTTTTTTTGTTTATGTTGCCCCCAAATGGCCCGTTTTCGCCTTTTTCCTCACATTTTTTTTGTCTAACTCTTTA